ATCAAGAACAATATCCGATACCACGAATCGATGACCTGCTTGACCAGCTTCGGGGAGCTACGGTATTTTCCAAACTGGATCTGCGGTCCGGATACTGGCAGATACGGATGGCGGACAACTCTATCCACAAAACTGCTTTCCGAACTCGGTACGGATCGTACGAGTATCTGGTAATGCCGTTCGGACTCACCAACGCACCGGCAACGTTCCAAGCCGAAATGAACCACATTCTACGACCACTTCTGGACGAGTGCGTGGTGGTGTACCTGGACGACATCCTCATCTACTCGCGCGACATGAAGCAGCACGTCGAACACCTGCGACGCGTCTTCGAAATTCTTCGACGAGAACGATTCTACGTCAAACTGTCCAAGAGCGAATTCGCCCTTTGAAAGGTCCAGTTCCTAGGACACATGGTGAGCGGCTCAAGGAGTTCACGTCGACCCCAAGAAAATCGAAGCCGTACGTACGTGGAAGACACCGAGAACGTGAAGGAGTTGCAGCAGTTCCTAGGCTTCGCTAATTACTACAACAGGTTCGTGCCACAGTATGCGAAACTCGCGGCACCACTCACGAATCTGTTGAAGAAGAACACGCCCTACAAATGGGAGACGAAGCACCAGGAAGCCGTGGAGCAGCTGAAACAAGCACTAACATCCGCACCGTGTCTCATCTTGCCAGATCCCGAACGTGACTACGTCATTGAAGCAGACGCCAGTGATCAGGCCGTGGGGGCAGTCTTGATGCAAGACCAGGGGAATGGACTGCAACCAATTGCCTACCTCAGCAAGAAACTACACGGGGGCAGAACTAAACTACCCGATACACGATAAAGAGGCTCTTGCTATTGTCATCGCCTTCAAAGCATGGAGATGTTATCTCGAAGGACGCAGAACAACCGTCTACACCGACCACTGCAGCCTGAAATACTTGAAGACACAACCTAACCTTTCCAGGCGGCAGGTCCGGTGGATCGACTTCCTCGAGACGCACTTCCACTACGACATCGTGTACAAGCCCGGCCACAAGAACAAAGCAGACGCTCTCAGCCGGCCTGCACACGTTGCCGCTATTCAGGCTGAAGGGATGAATCCACTACTCAAGGGACTCTTCACACACGGGTACGCCATCGACCCCGAAATTCCCTTGGCAGAAAAACGACACCTGCTACAGTGGGACAGTGACATCGCGTACCGGAAAGGATCAACGAAAATTTGGGTACCCAATTACCCTCCTTTGCGCCAGTTACTACTCGAAGAATACCACGACGTCCTATACGCCGGCCACTTCGGTAGCAACAAGACGCTGACCGGTATCGCGAAGCACTACTACTGGCCCCACTTGGCAGACGACGTTCAGAAGTTCGTCACCTCGTGTGATACATGTCAACGGATGAAGAGCAGTAAGCAGAAGAAAGCAGGACTGCTACAGCCTCTTCCCGTCCCAGAACAACCATGGCAAGTCGTTAGCCTGGATTTCATCACCGGGTTACCACCTACCACCAGCGGTCATGACGCGATCCTCGTCGTCATTGACAAGTTCTCCAAAATGGGACACTTCATCCCGACACACACGACAGCACGCACCGAGCAGACAGCACAGCTCTTCGTTCGTCACATCATCTCACAGCATGGCATCCCAACCACACTCATTTCCGACCGAGACCCCAAGTTCACCAGCAAGTTCTGGAAGGAACTTATGTCTCTGCTCGGCACCAAACTCGCCATGTCATCCGCATATCATCCGCAGACAGACGGACAGACCGAGCGCCTTAACCAGATTGTTGAGCAACTCCTCCGAGCAGCCTGCAAGGACGAGATCTCCAAATGGGACTTGCACCTGCCCGTCCTAGAGTTTGCCTACAACAACGCTACACACGCCGCTACGGGACAGACGCCGTTCTTCCTCTGCTACGGACGCCACCCACTCACACCACAGAAACCGCTAACACCAGCAACAGTCCAACCTGCACACGACTTCATCACAACCATGCATCAGCTTTGGGATCGGACCCATAAGCGCCTCCTTGACATTCAACAGCAACAGAAGCGCCAGGCCGATCGCCATCGCAACGACCACACCATCACGGTGGGGGACCAGGTGCTTCTCGACACCCGTAACCTGGACATCAGCCATCTCCCATCTAAACTTCGACCTCGCTTCTGCGGGTCTTTTCTCGTTGAAGCACAGGTCACTCCTGTTACCTTCCGCTTACGCCTGCCAGCTACCTGGAAGATTCACAACGCCTTCCATGTCCAACTTCTGAAGCCCTATCGGGATCCTAACACGATCTTCGTCGGACGCCAACCGCCGCCGCCGCCACCCGTCCTCGTCCAAAATGAACCCGAATACGAGGTCGAGTCCGTGCTTGCACACCGCCGTCGTCGGAATGGTACCGTGGAGCTTCTTATTCGCTGGAAGGGTTATGATCCTTCTGAGGACAGCTGGGTCTCTGAGACCGACATGGGTAACGCCCGTCGTCCTCTGCATGACTACCTTGTCAAGCAGGGTGTTACTTCTACCACCCAGCTTTGAGGGGGGGAAGTGTGAGAGTACGACCTCGTTACACCACTTGGCCTTTTCCATATTTCATCTTCATTTCATTCCTCTTTTTATCTCATCTCTTGTGGCCTCATATTTCCCATTTTCCCTTATCCTTTGGTTTCTTCCTTTATTATTATTATATCACCGACCAGGCATGGAATGTTCTAGACACGCTATCTAGCGTAATCCTGCCGTAATCCCTTAAAGCCAATAGCCTCGCGTGGCTATACGCAGGGTGATTCTATTTTCTAGAAGGGTCTATTCCTTTAGATAGGATAAACCTGGTTACCTGATGTACTCTGGAAGTATAAAAGCGCCTTGTACTGATCGATAGTGCAATCGATCCTCGAGTCATTCGATCCTGTGACATCGACCTTCTCCAAATCGTGCATGTAGCCACATCGATCCACCAACGTCAAGAATGACGTGGTGTATTTGGACACAGATCCCAGCTACTTCCACATGCGTAGAGTCTTGCGCGCTTTGTCTGAGTCAGGAGCGTGCTCAAACCGTTTGCGAAGTTCTGCGCACCACGTTGCCCACGTGCGAATGTGGGTCGCACCAAACAGCAAATCTGCCTCGTCTTCGTCGCCAAATTCTTCGGACCACTCATGCTGTCCTTCCGTGCGAGTTGCTGCTGAGTCGACGATGACCTTCCACCACTGTAGAGCGGCCCCTTGCAATAGTGTCAACGCATGGCTGATCCGCTTCTGATCGTCTCGGATGCTTGCCGCGTTGAAATTGATATTCATGGCGAATATCCACTTCCGCACCGTCACGCCTTTATTAGCTGGGTCGAAAGGAGCGGGTTGCTGTTATCTCACGCCGCCACTTGTCGATTGCGGGGCTGTTGCTGCTAGTCGTGCCAGCTCCACTGGCGTCGGTTGCTGCTCACCCGCCTCGCTTCGTGCATCGTCGCCCGGCTCCTCTGAACGCCTTTCCTGCGTCTGGCGAAGTCCTTGGTTTTCGTCGTGGAGGTTGTTGACGACGCTTGTCAAATTGTTTAACTGCTCCATTAATGCTTGCAGGTCTACTGTTTCCCGGGCAGAGTTCGCAGCAGTCGAGGTCGTCTGTTCCTCAACCGTCGAGTCAGGACGGGGCAGAAGCTAGCGCACACGCTGTAGTTGTTGACGTAAAAATATTTACGATCAAAGACAACTGCTGTGCAGCCGTGCTAATCCCCTCTGACCAACCTTAACTAAATTAACGGGAAAACGGAAGGTTCCTGCAAAGTTCGGGCTCTGATACCAGCTGTTATGAAATAGGAAGTGTCAATGTACTATAACGTGAGAATACAAGGTCGCTGTTGCAATGAAGGCACGAGGTTATATAGGAGTAGGCGTACTAGGCCGATAATCTCGGAACGTGGTTAGGTTTGGCAATGTGGCGACAGTGCCGGACGCGACTCGGAAAAGGGTTGGGCCGATAATTGAGGCCGAACGTGACGAGTCGAGGAATTCGGGTGTACGCGCTAGCGTACGACGCAGTAAGGAATGGAAATTCCTTACATACATGAATTATAACTCGATATAGTGCAGAATACTATAGGGGAACGTGATTACAGAGTTCACGATAGAAATGAGGCCTAGGCAATATGTAGGGCGATTGACCAGGGTTGAATGTCGAAGGTTGGACCAGTCAAGGGCTCGATAGACTCGAGGGTGACGGGGTCAAAATGGGTTCGGGGCGACTCGGGATAAGGTTGGGGCCAAAAATGTCGGGGGGGGGGGGGCTGGTTTGGCAAGAGACTTGAGGGCCGAGCCAGCGGACGCAAACTGTTCGCGTGTACTCGCTGTGGCGAGCCCGAGTAAGGAATCGTAATTCCTTATACTCTCCCACCTTCTAAAGGAAGGCACTCCTTTTATCGAGGCCAAACAGTCATTACAAGTAATCCCCGATGTGACCGTAAGTCTTCAGCCCTGTGACGAGAGTAATGATTACGCCGGCTTGACGAGGTCTTGAAGTCGAACTGAAATCGATGGTCAGAAAGCGTCGAAACGATCGCTTTTAATCTCAGCCGTCGAAGTTGGTCGAATTCTTATGCTGACCAAACGGGCAAGGATAAATACTCCAGGGATGACGGTAAACAGTGAAACTGTCGAGTGTTGGCGCGTGGCAGATGAACATCTTGGAATGATGACTGGCGGATAACGTGATGGTCGATGATATGAAGAACACGTTCATCAAACGCGAGGTCTTTTGAGTCACATGCGAGAGCACGCGTCCGTGTCCCACGAAAGTCAGCAAACTCCATCAACGAAAGGAAGAAATTATATGCGAAAGCGTAACGGTGACGAATGTTGCTCGAAGATGGATGATGGAACACGCCGAAAGGGTCAGACGAAATCTGCAGCGTAGCTGCCCTTCTCCCTCCTCTAAGAAGAATCAGCTCCCAAAAGCTCGGGTAAAACCCCAAGAAACCTAACGCTCCAGGGTACGCGAGATACCTATCTGCTGCTTAAAACCACAGGCTAAAGAAGCACACATTGGGCACTCTTGGAAACTTATTTTTTTGGGGGTCAGAATAAACGACCCACACTGGAGCACCTTGTACCAAACGAAATGGAAAAACGTGTTTTGCGACAGTTTGAGAGGGCCACGACGTACCTTGCGAGTACACGACTTCGACGGAACATGGTGCGACAAGCACAAAAGTCGCACAACTCAACCAAATTGGTCGAGTGCGACCACAACCCAGGAACTCGTCGTTCAAGAGCTCCATGGGTGTGCATCACTTTTCCAGAAGCAGATTACCTCATAGTCAATCAAGCTTAGGAAACCTTAGCTGCCACTACACAGGTCATTACAAAAATCCGTCGGCGCATCGACGTACAACTCTCCCCACTACGGGGAAAAGGTTTTATCCGGTTTTTTAAAAGGCGACCTCTGGCGTAGTACCGTCCCCGCAGAGGAACGACCTTGGATTGGCGAAAATGACACAGTGCGCGCCGTAGTTTGCGAAGCGAAGCTTCGGTAAGACCCGCCATTAGACATCGTGACTAAACGTGACATCTAGCCTAGGCCCGACCACTCTTTGCCTAAGCCAAAACGCCCCCCTGCACCAAAAACTCCGACGAGGAGGGCGCGGATAGCGAGGAGAGGGGAACGGATGGCGAGGAGAGGGGGAAGGGATGGCGAGGAGAGGGGGAAGGGAAGGCGAGAGGGGGAACGGATGGCAAGGAGAGGGGGAACGGAGTCTCGTGAGGATGACCCGAGTGGATGAGGGGTAATCGAGCGCGAGGAGAGGAGAGGGTGTGGAACGGATGGGACGCCCGGGAGTTGGATGCGAGGGTGAGTAAAGGGCAAGAAGAGTGGGAATGCCGTGATCCTGCTGCCCCCCTGCTCTCTGCTGTCCCCCTGCTCTCTGCTGCCCCCCTGCTATCTGCTATCCCCCTGCTCTCTGCTGTCCCCCTGCGCTCTGCTGTCCCCCTGCTGCCCCCCTGCTCTCTGCTGTCCCCCTGCTCTCTGCTGCCCCCCTGCTCTCTGCTGCCCCCCTGCTCTCTGCTGCCCCCCTGCTCTCTTCTGCCCCCCTGCTCTCTGCTGTCCCCCTGCTCTCTGCTGTCCCCCTGCTGTCCCCCTGCTGTCCCCCTGCTTTCCCACTGCTGTCTCCCTGCTCTCTGCTGCCCCCCCTCTCTGCTATCCCCCTGCTGTCCCACTGCTGTCCCCTGTCCCCCTGCTCTCTGCTGTCCCCCTGCTGTCCTCCTGCTCTCTGCTGTACCACTGCTGTCTCCCTGCTCTCTGCTGTCCCCCTGTTCTCTCCTGCACCCCCCCCTCTCTGCTGTCCCCCATTCTCACCTGTGCCATGTCCCCTTGTCGTCGATGCAAAGACTTTTGCTCTACCTCTCTCTCCTCTCCCATCCTTTCCTCCATCCTCCCTCCCCTCTCTCTCTTCCCTGTCAAGCCTTTCCCCTACCCTCTACCCTTTGCCATGTCATGTCACCTTCGCTCCCATGCCCTCGCCAGTTTTGTCATCCGTATTTCCTGTCTCTCAACCACTTTTCCCTTCCTCCCCCTGTCATCACGTCTCTCTCCCCTGCTGACTCCCCTCCCCTCCCGCCGCCAAACCTCCATACACCCCTGAACCTGCACACCACTCCCCTTATCCACGCCTCGCTTCTCCACCCCGCCCCGCGCCTGTGTGTCTCCCTTTTGGACTTGACTCAACAGCTGTCCCCCTCCCCTGCTGCAATCATGACACCTGGCATTCATCCCGCCCCTGCTGTGGCAACAGCTGCAGTGCTTGCAAACAGCATTTCAGAAGCAGAGAAGGGCATTCTCGGGCGGGACCAAGGGCCGAAAAATGCAGAGGTGGGGGATCAGAGTGGGAGGGGGGGAAGGGGACGGGGGGGCACGCATGGGGAAGCAAGTATCTGGAGCGGCCAGAGTGTGCAAGCCGGAGGTGGTGTGACAGGCATGGAGACACACATGGTTGGTTTGGCAATGGCAGCTGAAGCCAAAGGCTATGCCAGCGCCAATGCTGCAATAATATCTGCTGCCACCAGTGCTATACTTCTGCAATAAACCGCCACCTTGTTTCTCTCTAAGGAAGCCAGAGAGGTGCAAAATGCATTTTGCATATTAGTCCATTGTGATGATGATGTTATTTAATGATGATTTTCCTATACAGGGCTTATCTTTGGTTTTTCACCACTCTGATTTTCACGAGTGACTCCTGGCCAAACTCTGATTTTCAGAGTGCCCTGGAGCTCGAACTCTGATTTGTCAGGGTTTTTTCACACTTTTCAAATAAAAACTCTGATGCCCAGGATTCACTCCCCACGACTATTTCGCAACGTGGTGCTTTATCCCAGAAGACTGCCAAATTGCACCATACTTTTTTTCTAGGTGCGTGCCATATACACAACCCCTACAATTCCGTGCCCAAGACTTGTGCTAAATGAACGCTGAAAAGTGTAGCTTTATAGAGATTTGGGCCGAAATCTGCCCCAGTACAGTCGGCTGGAAACTGGGATGTCTCGGCCGGGTTCTGCCAAAAAATCATCCAGGCTCTGCTCC